AATTTAAGAAAAAGAATTGGTAAAATAATTTGTTGATTATATAATATAATATAATTTATGATTTTTTTTTTTTTAATTCGTTATCAGAGAAATGAATGTGAAAAAGACCTTGAAATCTTCGATGCTGGTGGAAGTTCCATTAACATAGCTTCGTTTGTCGATTGTTTGTTGATAACTACGCTGTTGGAAGCTTTGTGTTCCTGTTTGAGACTTCTGTTCGGTGGACTGGAAGGTTTGTGCGTATTCCTTTCTGTAACTTCCCATTTGCTGTTGCGGTGGGGGTCCAAATCCTTCTGGCTGAATGTAAACGGAGCAGATTGCTTCGCCTGAGTAAGTGAAATAATTATATTTTTATTTTACCATATGAAAAACAAGGAATTAAAAACACCGAGAACCTTATCATTAACCTTATCAACTTTATCAGGTAGGCAATCAAATTTCTCATTCGCGTAGAGTAGTAATATGTAAACATATTTGATTTTCCAAGTAATTAAAAAACATTTATTTTTGTTTCTTCTGGAGTGTATTAATGTACAATATGAATTACATAAACACCGAATATTTTATTTTAGCCGAGCAAAAATGAAAGTTTCATTAGATCTTTATGGACTTTTCTTTTTCTCCGTATACTTAATTGTGTTTGCTTTTATTAGCAATCTCTAATAAATTCTTTACGTTACCTGGTAATTAAGATACAACTTTCTAGACGTAATTCGGAGTTTCGTCATTCCATTAGTTAAAATTTTATCCACTTGATCTACATTTACGTGTTCACGTTAACTCGTTTTAAGATAGAGAAGTACTCGAATGAAAATAACATGTGAAGTTTTAATTACTTAGATTACCGATCTTTAATTATTTCGTGTAATACATGGTTTCAAGTTAAACTGTATTTCTAGAGACATTCAGAAGAAAACTTACCGTATTGGTTTTTTGCACTGCACGTGTATTCACCCTCATCTCCAGGGCCGATTTGATTAATTTGAAGGGTTACTGCACCGGTTTTGTCGTCGTAAGACATTCGTATTTTCCATGATTCTAATAACGGTGCACCCTTGTGGGTCCAGGATACGGTGGGCTTCGGGTTTCCTCTCACACGACCCTCGAAAATTGCGTTTCCACCCTGCGCGAATCGGGCGTTCTTGAAGATCTGTTCGAAGACCGGTGGCGATGGATCGCCTGGTCTGCCGGTAAATCTGCACCAAACATTGCGAATTACATTCAAACTTTACGTTGATCAACTTTCTCTAGTTTCCAAAAATTTAAACAATTTTCAGAATTTGAAAGATTGTCTGAAGTGAAACTTTGGAATAATTTATTTTGAGACCTTGTTGAAGTTTTGAATTCTGAAAATTCTAAAAATTATTGGAATATTAAATTCTAAATCTTCATCACAAAAAGCTACTAATTGTTCGAAATAAATAGCTGAAAGGTATTAAAATACTCACGTTGGTACCATGGGCGTCGACTGCATCACAATCTCCCCTTGAACTGCAAATAAGAAAAGAAACAAGTTATAGACCCCCGTGTAATTGAAAGGAGAGATAAAAGATTAGCATAACGATGATAATTTCATCGTGTGGACCGCATATTCATTTTCTTTTATTTTTCCCAGGGTCACAAAGCGATTTCGTTCTGGATCGTTCGAACGAAAGAAAAATGCGCCAGGAAGCTTTCGCCCGGTTCTTCTAAAGCTCGTCACTTTTATTTCTGTTTATGGGATATGCTTCCTACTGGTGCATTTCCTCTCCTTCCCCCTAACTGGGCCAGAACGAATCGAGGAAACGAACCGTTGACGCCGTTTTCTTCTCTGTCGCCGTCACGCGCCATGCAGACCGTGCACTTTTTTTTTTCACGGACTTATCTACGGTGGAACTCGGTGCAATTAAGTCAATTTGCTAATTAAGCACGGGGCCCCGTTGACGCGAAATGCTTGTGACCCGTGAGCTTTACGTTCGCATTATTTTTGCCACTCCATATCAACCGAATTATTATTTCAAACTTTGTTCATGTTTACAAACGTGATACGTCTCTAATAATTTCGAACAATTTGATGCACGATTAATCCTTTGTGCTCGAAGATTCCTTCGTCATAAAATAAGCAACTAAAGAAGTGACTTGGTGAAAAGTTACAACTCGAAAGCTTCTCTGGTATAAGAGTAATGTCATTTGGTATAATAAGAGTAATATAAAAGGAAACGATGCGTAGATTATAGAATTATTTTTATGTTTCAGCAAATTTAATATTTGGTTAGCAATCTCTTTTATTATTATCTACATGTGTGCAATCTATCATGAAACAGTATTCAGTACTGATTATGAGTGAATGTAATTGCTTGGGCATGGATATACGTTGTGGACATGTGACATACACTGTGGATCTCATTGTTCACCAAATCGGTATAGCGATTGTAGAAAGTGGAATTTCTTTAGCCTTTCTCGTTCTTCCGATGTGTGTCCAGTAAAGATACGACTAACTAGTTTCTTGGGGTTATTAATCTATGTAATTTTGCTTACTGACGACTAAGATTTGTCTGGCGAGTTTAAAAGGTTAATATAATTATTTGGTAAAAATAAGAATAGAAATATTTGGTAAAATCGAAAATATCCGGTGGATATTTGTTCGACCAAAGACTCGTGCAATTTTCAAAATTCAGAGGATAGAAGGAAAGGTCTCTAAACTGACGCATAAAGACCAAAATACACGCTTTACGAGCTCATTCTTCCGATATAAGAAAACAATAACATCTGTGGAGGGTAAAGTTGTAAAGAACATTTTTAAAAAATCCACAGAGACGTGGAAGAAATTCCAACATATAAACGCGAAGCAGCCAATAATTTTCACATAACCAGCCAACAATTTTTCCTGAAAATAATTCAAAATATTTCTTAACATTTCTCCCTCATCGACACAATGGACCCATTAAGTTTCTATTTATAACTTAAGAGCGTTTCATGCATAACAAGCCTTTAGTACGATAATAAGCTCTCACTTATTTCTTCGCCAATTCCTGGATTAAGTAATTTCACGTTCACCCGAGCACGAGAGCGTTCTGAATCATCGACATCTGTGCCATTTCATCGGCAGAGGCGTAAAGAAAAATAAAGGATCGTTTCTCGGTGATTCCGCGTTTTCTTCTCCATCGTGAAGCTTCTCAAGGGGTGAAGGATTCAGAAAAATTCCTTTCTTTTTTCTTTTTCTCTTTCCTTTCCTTTTTTAAATACTCGTCGGCTAACAGACGCCGGAGAAATTAATTATTGACAGCCTCCCGAGGGCGAAAATAAACTTTCTACGACAATCTCTCCGAGCACCGCTTATACCACTTTCGTTATCATGATTTAAAGCACCCAAGTGGATTCTAGAAGCGGTGACGTGATCGTTTGGAAATATAAACCGTGTTCGAGCGAAATGCAGCGATTAAATCGGGAAGAAAAGGGGTGATCGAACGCGTGAAAGCAACACGCGATGTCGCGTTTGCTCCAAATCGGCTTTTATATGATTTAGTAATATGAGTTGTAGTCGATATCGTATTGGAAAAATATTCCATACTGATTATGCCACGTTGTCTTTAAAATAAGATACATCGAAATTTTCCAAATTTTTCATCATTTTTTCATAACTTATCGTTACCATAATGCTTAGTAAAATATAACGATAGTGATGGAATTGATTTTTAAAATAATTATGTCAGTATTTTATTTTACTTTATCCTCTGCGGTATGGATACAAGAAGTTAGGTTTTATGAAAAATTTGATGAATTAAAATAATGGTGTAGTGTCTGTTACAAATGATTTGCTTTTAATCGTTAATATTTCATTAGTTTACAAATTTCGGTGACATCATGGACACTTGAGCGATGATGCACTTCTATTTGTATTTAATAAAACGAATACACAGTTTCGTTCGGAAGAAGGTACAGAGATTTATTAGTTTTTAGTGAAGTAATCCCTAGAATAAGATTCAACAAACGTTACTTTGATGGGAAGCTCTAGAATGCCAAGTATTTAACCTGTCAGTTGCACAGTTTCAAAACGGGTCTAGTTACCATTACCTTCTCAGAAATTTGACGATAATGAAGAACAATACAGATCCAACAGTCGGACGAATATTCTAATATTCCTTTCTTTTTTGAAAAGAATTCTTAAAATTCCTTCCAATTTCTGTATTTCATTTTTGGGAATTTTATCGAATAAGAATATTTATGGTATTTCATAACAAAAATGTCTTCTATAGATATAACAAAAATATATATATTAATATATAAATATCTAACCTAGAAACTAATTCAAATGGTTGCTTCTTCTCATTCACAGAACGTTCAAAAATTCTCAATCACTTCTCTCTAAAGCCAAGGAACAATGGGTCATAGATTTGACAATTAAACCACATTAACGCTACAATTCTCTTCCCCATTGAATTCTCCGCATCCTATATCATCTCGAGATATCATCTTAGTCGTTTAACAATCGGACAAGTTCGATCACGAGAGAAATTCGAGTTAACCTACCAATGTAAATCTGGCAGACCAGTCAGTTCCCAAAAAACGCGACACGATAACTCACGCCACTCAGGATATGCGAATCGATCGTTCGAAATAAAAGTATCCTACACTTGAATCCATCGACACGTTCGTTTCGTCACAACGAGCCATTCATAACCTTGGCAGGAAGAACTATAAGGTCACATGCACATACTAGGTACATTCGTGGACAAAAGTCTTAAGACAACTATTATTTTGGACGAAATGGTACTCTGACTTTCAGTATAGATTTTTAATAGCGAATATTTACATTAGGAATGCCATTAAAGTTACTAAATAGAGATGAATACTAGGTTTCATTAATACCCAATTTCAACAAAGATATTTCCCAAAGATTTCCAAAATTTCTGAAATTTAGCCAGGAAACAACTCGAATACGGGAACCCCGTATACCTCTGCATCAAGTGTATCAAAAACGAGAAGAAAAAAGGGATAATAAATAAAGGTGTCGAGAGAAAAAGAGATCCGTAACATTCTCCCTCGAGACACAGAAGATGAAGGAGGGAAGAAGACGGAGAAAGACGAAGAATATGAGTGAAGGGGATTGAGAGAGAGAAAGAGAAGGACGTAACGTGGTCGGATAACCGCGGGATCCTATTTTTGCATCCAGATGGGGATCGCGTTACCGTGGGCCATTTTAGGAGCAACTATCTTTGCGCGGCGCCCAGCGCCGCGACGCGTCTACGCCGGCCGGACTACATGCACCTCGACCAATCGCCGTAGACGTTACGCAAAGCCAGTCACTGACCAAAATAAAACAGCTCCAAACGCTGTTATCCCCACCCTTTTGATCCACCCCCCTTGTCCCTCTTCGCCTTAATTTTTCTCTCTTTCTAACGGACGAACGATCCGTTGGAAAATATTTATAAATGTTTATTGCAAATGGCAGTGGAACGTGGGTGGAATAGGTCGAAGAGAAGATTCGTATGGCACGGATGAGACTTAAGAATGGCGGGGGAATTCGACAGGGGTGAACTTCTGCTGTTTTTCATTCATGGTTGCTGCATGGTGTTGATTCCATTTTCTCCCTGCTCCTAGGTTGACTGATCGATCGTTGGACCAGGTTATTGTTTACGAGGTGAACTGACAGCTCGCTTCTGACTCGATCAGCTGATCTAGAGAGGATGCCACGTATAGGTTCTTTCGAATGTAAGCAGATGTGTACAGGGTTGATTTAGAAACTCGTCTTTGTGGACAGACGAGAATTTATTTGGGCTTAATCTTGATTTTTAATCCCCTGTGCTACGATTTAAGTTAATGGAAAATTGATAGGTTGGGGAAGCATATAATTTTAATGTCATTTTAATTAGTCCCTATACAACTATTTCATTTGTGTGATTTTCGTGAAGGAATTAAGTATATATTTATTTGTTTCCTCGAGACTCGTGTCCATTTGAAGAAGTAAACAGACAGAAAAGAATTTCTCTGAGATTGACCTTAAATTTTATATACATATTTGTCATCGAACTGACAGCTTTTTTATATGTATGTACATACACTGCTTAACTGGTTATTCTTAGGTAAGTGCGATCTTTGGGTCGGGTACAGTTAAGAGGAAGTGACGCGGCTGATTAATTGACACTTGATGGACGTCTTAACTCGTGTGTTGCTAATTATATATACGTTTGCTTGGGTGAGAAAATTCTGTTTGCATTCTAAGCACACCTTGCAATACTTTCCTTGCAATACTTTCCTTCCAATCTAATATTAATCTAAATATTTCCAAAAATTCACAACCCTGTCTAGAAGTAAATGAACCCAATATGAATCATGTACGTCTAACAGAAATCTAATATTCTCCAGCTGAATACCAGTATACCAAAAAGTCTGCTAATCTGAACATATTTTTGACTCGAAGATTCTCATTCCAGAATCAAAATTAAATTCGAGATGTGATATTCGGAAAGCAGTTCGTTGGATAAATACAATCAGCATGAACACGACATCCA